ATAATAATTTTAGCAAAACCGCCTTTTTTACTACCCGCCATGGTGGTACAGTGGTTATAGTGCTCTAATTCTGACCCGAATGTTGCGGAATTGAATACCTGTCGGATTTCGATGTAAGTGAAAATGCTCGAGGCACGTGCACTTTGATTTGCGTGCGCGTTAAAGACCCAAAGTGGTAAAATTTCCGTAGCGCCCCACTTCGACATTTCTCATAATCGCCTTATCGCCCACAGAAGGTTAAGATATGATGGAGATCAGTTTTTTCCATTGAATTCCTTTTGTACTTGCGCTGATGACTCGCAAGTCATCTTTTCAGCGAGTGGCTCGCCATTGAGTGCTTCTAGAAAATTCGTTGCGTATAAAGCAGCGGTCTTGTGGAAGTCACAATCGTTGTGGCTTCCGAAATTTTCGAGCGCATTCTTCCAACGTGTGCATGGAGAGAGAACCAAGCTTGCACCGAGTACATGGTGAGTCCCCTTTCCTTAACTTTCTTTTCCAAAAGGCACACGTCTTGCTCCCTCTTGATCTTTGAAATACACCAACAGCCAGGAAACGATGTCTTGCCAGTGATGTTGAAACTGTAATTTCCGCTGACTAACTGAGGAAATGCTCTAGTGAGCGCCTGGTTTTCGTGACGTCTGTAGCAAACGTCCTCTAGTCTCGTCGCGCTGCAACTCCTGGTGTCTTGACCTATTAAACAGGTGAAGACCAATGACGTTATGAGGAATCGTGGTTTCCGTGCATTCGTCATGCTCCCATCAGTTTTCAGAAGTTCTTTCGGCACATGAGTAATATTCAGGCAGTGCAGAACTACAACTGGGAACCGTTTCTTTGGCTGCTGTAGCTTTTTCGACGGTTGTCAAGTGTGCACTGGCAGCAGCGTCGCCTTACGAAAATAATCATCAAACGTTGCCTCACAGCGTTTTGCTGCCGCCATCGACTCTCATAGAAGGGCGCTGACTGGCACAGAAAACGAACTACCCACCAATATGTGTAGGCAGCGTATTTCAATGGGGTGACTTTGCATTGCTATGAAGCAACGTGCTCAGCAAAGTTTGGGCAGTGACACAGAATGCGAGAAACAAGAACCTTGGCAATGTTACATATCGGCTGGTTAAGTTCCACCTTAAACACTAGCGCTCGTTTATCTCCTGGCGGAAAGACTCGTGGGTATAAATTTTCTCTGCTTCCTTTCAGGTGGCAATAAGGTCGTGCTCGTCCAGTATCTTACTCTGCGCGGGAAACGTCTTGCCTTTGTGATTGAGCCCCTACGAAACGCTAGTAGTTTCTCTTGCGTTGTGATCCCATACCACAAACAAGACTTAACGCGAAAGAGTTGATGCCAGCAGTGAAATTCCAGTGACTGAAATTAGAATGCCCGAAACGGACAACCAACAGGCCTGGATGGCACACAGTACAGCGTAAGCAAACTCTTGTGTCATATGCTGGCAGTTCTTGTCGGAGTTCACCCGTCTGAGAAATCAATTATGGTGAACTATGCTTTAAACAAAACCGGAGTTCATTCCTTCATTACTAGTGAACCAATCACTCAAGATTTTCTGTGGTTCGAGTTTGCTCCTGTTCGTGCCGGCGTAACTGCTGCATACATGAATGCACATACTGATTATAACAGTGTATACATGGCATATCTAAGCTGCGCAGTGAAATATTCTGTAAAGCTCTGAATCTTTTGACGTAAAGGGAAATGATAGCGGCAAGCTTGCAAACAACGGAAGAGACTTTGCCACAACGCTTTCAGGAGGCAGAGCGACGAAAGCTACGAACAAAATAAATAAACATGTTCTAGTACATAAACGCAGCCAACAAGCTACTTCTATGTGAGTAGCTATAAGGTCCGTTCGGTTTGCCTTGCCCTGCGTGAACCACTTCCAGGCAGTTAAGATGACAGTGCAGCTAGAGCTGAACTCATGCAGTACCAGTTCAGCGAGTGCTCGCGTAGCGCTCGACATTCAATGAACTAGCTCGACATTCAAATGAACGCCAAAGTGCAGGTAGAGCATCTAGAGTATACCGCCGATAGCGTGCCGGCAGCGCCGTGTTTCTCACTTGTTTGTAGTGTACTTGCGTGTGAAAGCGTTGGTATGCAAGCTGGCAGTTTCATCCAAAAAGTGATAGATTTTGTCACAATATGTGCAGCTATTCAGCAAAGTTTTGTAGAACTGATAAGAGTTCGGCGATGCATCATCACAGTTGTTACGATGCCATTGGTAGGTTCCTCGAGGTTTCGCGAAGAAGTCGTGAGCCAGTACTTTGATTTTTCCCAACGCCTCCTCTATAAAGGAGCCGTTGTTTTTTCCTAACGTGACAACTGGGCGACGATTGGTCAGTGCTAAAAAAACGTGTTTGGTAGTTTTGTGCTACTTGGGTGGACAGCCCCTTGGCCAAACGGGTCGACACTGCCGTGTCGACCGTACACAGTTGTGTCGAGCAAACCTTAGATTTTTCTCAACAGCGTGAGTGCGGAAGTGATTCCTTGGAGCCAGAGAGGAGCGGGAATACAGCAAAGCCAGTTTACTAGCAAAAGGCGGCTGCATAGGGCCTAAAAACGCCATATATGATGCAAAGGCGGCTGACGAGTGGATATGAAAAAGCTGACGGAGTCGCCAAATTCCCATTTACGTGGTTCACGTCTTCATTCAGTATCGGCGTCAACTAAGAAACTTGTTTTATCTAGGGACCTTTGTGTCAACCTTGTGAGAACGCCACTTACGGATACACATAATTCGTCTGCTACCGTGGCTGCAACAGCGCCACTGCTTGTACTCGAGCTGCACTACCTCCGAACTCACTGCAGGGTTTTGTCTGAACTGGTCGTGCACGATTCCTGCACATTTTTAAACAAATGGTTCAGTTCAAAGGTCGCCAGCTTGCTCTACAAAAATGAACGGTCGAGTGCGGCACCACGTAAACCAGTTCAGGCAGTGCAAATAAATCGAAGGGACCTATCGTTTCGTTTAGGGTGCATTTTTGATGGAGACCAACTGAACCTTTCTCAACAATGATTACCTTGCCCTTGCAGATTGCACGATAAAACATCTACGATTGGAGTACTTCATTGCTATCAAAAGTCACAGTGCAACTCTAATGTCAACCAAGGTGCGAGAAAGTCTGCCTGAAAAATAACGCGTGCGTAATCATGTTGCCAACGTGCAGCATAAGTTTCAAAAAAGTTACTCATTGTGTATCGCAAGCATACTTGGATGCCTGCAGTAAAGTTAAAAAATGTTCATAAAAAGCCATCACTGTGTAACACATCAACATGATGATGATGATGTGTTAGGACTGCGTTACATATAGAGCTTAAAAATTGCTTAGCAGTGTGAAATTGAAATTTCACACTGGTAAGCACATGGACGATGGTCCAAGTTCTGGTGCGGGGAAGAAAAGGCCTTGGAGAACTGGCATTGTGCAATACCATAAAAAGCAGGAAGTCAAGCACACACAATATACACTTGCCCTCATTTTCTTAGGAGATAAGGGGAAGGGCTCCGAATTTTCTGTTGGCTTCACTTCAAACTTCATAAACCGAGCCAGTCTTTTTTTTTTCTGTCGTGTACAAAGTTGAGAGGTAATTGCAAGAAGCATGGCAACTTTCTGCTACTGGGTGAAGCAGCATGTTGCTTGCAGAAGGTGTCTTGCCACCCTAACTGAAACCTTGAGCTCATAGCAGACTTCAGTTTGGCAGCACACACTGCAGTGAAGTGCACTTTCTTAAGAGCTCGAGTCAGTAAATCAGTATGGTAATGCTTGCACTCTTCCCACCTCTGAATCATGTAGTATGTGAATTAAGGAGCACTGAAGTATGTTTCATTCACTGATTATACTACAATTGCATGCTACATTCTTAACACGAGTCCAAGCAGAGCAACTATAACAGTAGAGGCCTACCTAGTGAATAATATTTTAAGTACCCCTATTTGTAGCAAGTGGCTGTTATTACATGTTTTTAATTTGTTGACATATGTGACCCTATATTACTGACCAAAGCACTGTCTGCGGCATTGTGCAGTATTGGCTTGACACGTGCGTGCTGTGAGCGAAATTTCTTAGGTACATTACTTGTAGACAATGCTGCTTGCGGGTGGTGCTGAAATACTGACAAAGGTGGACAGCAGTGTTGGAAATAACAGTTGTATATTGCAGAATATTGGAGTACTGTGTCTTGAAGCAGTATAAAAAAGCTCTCCCACATTACCAAAAACTTTGCTTTTTTAGGCATTGAAGGTGGTTAAAGTCACTATGATAATTTTCTCCCTGTGGCGAATTCACCAGTTTTGAGGTTATGTTTGGGTCTGTTCTGTCATTGTTTACTAAGTGTATATGTTGTGGAATAGCCCATTAAATATGTAGCGTATATATTACAACAAGGGGAACATGAAATTGCCTGTTACATGTGCAGCGCATATATCTGGTTGATGGGAAATGCATACCTAGCAGATGTTTGCAATAAACAAGCTAAAAGTTACTAACACTTCGGGGAACTTGTGATGTAAAAGTATCCCATTGCCATGGTATGTAATGAAAACTGCAACGAGACCTGCCTTGTTTCGATATTGTTTTTTCTTCAAAATTTAATGCAAGGTGACTGAGCTGCCTGTACTACTACAGGAGAAAGAAATAGGCTGCAATTCTGGAAGTCTATGTTCACAAGTGCAGGTCACCAACCACTGTAGATTTTTCCACTGCTTTAGCAGGCAAACAAAAATAAATAGCTGGAGTTTGGCATGCTGCAACACAGTCACTTCTTCACTTTCAAACTTCACTTGGGATGATGAGGCAAAGGCATTTTGTGACAGCTAAGGCCCACAAATGCTTACTTACGATTCTCAACTAGGCCGTAATTTAAGCGCATATTTGTGCATATATTATGCTGTTTTCTGCCATGACTGCTGTAAAAACCATTTCTATGACGCTTAACGTTCGAATGTCAGGCCTGGAGGCCAACAAATACTAATAGAAGACGTCATAGAGAGTCGAGCTCAGCAAACAATGTAAAAAAGAGTTTATTATGCGCATGAAAGTTTATGTACAGGGTAATGAAAATGGTTGCGGGCCTCGGTCATCACCAAGATTAAATATGCTGAAGTCTGGTGTGGTCAATCTTCTCAAGCTCCACAAGTCTGAGCAATCAGTCAGGAAAGTGACAACAGAAAACAGTGCTCTCATTTCACTTTCCTTTTCCACTGAGTGCTAAACTTCACAGTCAAGACCCTTGGTGGCAATTAAATATTCCCATTAATGAAGTTATAACAATCGAGCTATGGAAATACCAAATTAGTGAGCAGTATAATGAGATGCAGTTACTGTTAGTTATAAAAGATGACTTAAATTTCTAACCTAGGTCACGTGTGATGATTGTAATTCTTGATAGGCTAGAGGGAAAGTGCTTCTGATTAATTCTTATCACCTAAAACGTTTTCATTGTTCTGCAAATAAGAACCAAAGCTGCTACATCAGTAGTGTTCGACACTGTGGATTCTAAGCCACCATTGTGGGAGAAAATTACACTGACTCAGCAAGTTGAACATACACAAACAGCTTATGTTATCAAGTCGGTACACTATTTTGTGCTCACGAAAACAAATTGTGCTTCCAATGTTCTGAAGGGAGATGCTTACTGAATGATTGCAAGTCAAGGCGCTGTCACAGTCTGTCTGTCAGCCAATTCAGGATAACACCTCGCACAATGACCTTCCTATCGAAATTTAAACAATTATATGCTGCTGCTCTTACACTCATTGTTTAACAAAACTGACAGCTCTCCTCCCTCACGTTTTTTATTACAGCAGAGCACATGCAAATTTGATTAACTTCTAGCTCTAGTGTCCTTTTAGGAGAGTGGGAGCCAAACAAGCCCAACATGATCACATTCAAATCAAAGGATACGGTTTCAGCTGTTCTGCAAAGGCCTTCATCTCGTCGCCCAATGACTCCTGCAAGAAGTAACCATGCGTAATAAATGTCTGCTGGCAAGACAGTGTGAGCAATAATCTGCTGTGTGTGACAAAGGAAAATGTTAATTCTAAGCCCCACCATGTCAGAAATAGATATATGGCTTTTGCTGGTCCACAGAAAGAAGCTAGCCGAGAAAAATTTTAACTGTATTGTGGTGGCAGATTGAAAATATATCGGAGGCCATAGGAACATTGCTGTAGCTGCTTAGACGTACATATGGTATGCGAATGTACATAAAAAAAAAACGGTGTGCCAGGTCTGTTTTGGCAATACTCACTACGAACTGTAGTGCAAAAACAACAATTATGAAAAAAAAATAATATGGACAAGCACTGTACTATCAAGAGAAAATTATTTTTTTGAAATCACACTATAAATACTTGTAAATGCTACATATGGCAAGACAAAAACAAGACATTGTGATTCCCTAAAGATAAGTGGCAAGGTGATCAGGTTCCTAATTATGGAGCTGTAAACGCCCATAACTTTACCATAAAGTTTTACCATCATAGATTTTCCTAAAATTAACCAGAAGGGACTGCTGCGTCGATCGTTCAGTTACCATGGAAATGATGGGTAGCACACAAACTTTCTTAGTCTTCGTGCTTGCGAGCTTTGAACACGCTTGTGGCTTTGTTTATTTCCGTGTTCTGGTTTCATTTCATATAAAAAAACTGACCCTTGTGAACCTCGCGAGCTCATTCGAATTGGTGGGCCTAAAAGGTTAAGGTGGTGAAATGCAACTGCTGAACATTTGCCGATTCTCCTTCCATGACAGAGCGGCTCCAGGCCACACGAAGCCAACAAAGCCAGAAGAACGGAAGACTAGGCAAATTTGTGTACTACCCATCGTTCCCACACTCGCTGAAGCACCGTGCGTTGCAGCTCCCATAGACACTAGCGCCAGAGTTCCTTCTAGTAAGTATTGTAGGAAACTCTATGTCACGCAATACTTGTGAGGTGCTCACAGAAATAAGCCGTATATACAAGTAAATTAGCACCCAGCTTTTCATCATGCTAGCAGTAATACGACAGTACAGAAGCCAGCAACATCAATGCATGTATCTACAGAAACAGCTACAAATACTGTGTGACCCGTTCTATTTATAGCATTAACTTTGGCACCTCTAGGTATGAAAGCTACACAATTCAAGTTTTAATCCATCAAAAAGAAGTACAAATTGACAACAGTACAGTTAACTGCAATTTAGACACAAATATACATGGCAAGACAAAAGTGCAGCCTTCTCACCTGCCCTGCAGGGGCTATAACACTTAGCTCAATGATGTGGGAATTCGAGACCGGCTCAATGCTCTCGGGGTTTCCTTGCTGAACAAGCTGTGGGCAAAACAATGAGAATGACGGCATTAAGCATGCTGCAATAGCAATTGCACGACAGACACTGAAGTGCTTGCATAACTGTCACACTCATGCAAAACATTTATTCACAAATACTGACTGTTCAAATAAGAGCTGGAACATAGCTCCCTACTGTGTGATTGCGTGTATTGACATTCGAAGAGTGGCTTGGTAAACTGTCGTTACTGTTCCTGGCAAAATGCAGGCTATGATATCCTGTTGCATAGTGTGAAAATGTGGGTTTGAATATTTTCCACAGCACCCATTTTTCGAAGGTGGCAACATGGAGAAATGATAATGAACTTAAAGGGGTCCTGCAACACTTTTTGAGCATGGTCAGAAAATGTTGCCAATCGGTAGTAAAGGCTCCCGACAACAAGCGAGCCAAATGTTATAGCGCAGCACGCGGCGTGGAATTCACAATAAATTATCAAAGTCAGCTAAAAATTGCTTTTCCTTTTCTCAACAAATCACGGAATAAGCCCAAAAATTGCCCGTAATAAGCCCATGTATCAGCCATTGGCTGATTTGAACATGGCGCACTCGGTCGTTACAAAGATCGCCGCGGGAGGCCGCTACTTTTCCATGCGTGCGCACGGGATCACATTTAGAAAACCCGCGCATTTGAAGAAAAAAAAAAGAAAAAATTGCTAAAGGTCAGGAGGCACGCGTGACGTTTTTTGTTTGCCCCTCCCATCCCTCCCTGCTTAGCTTCTAGCGCTTTCGTCGGGACGAGAGAAGAGAGAAGAATTGCAGCGCATGACAAATCTTTGAAACTCCGCTCCTACTGGGCAGATTTTTAATATTTTTGCGGCGTTTATTTTTTGAGGCAATACGCTTTTCCAGTGAATTAATTCCATATTTGCTCAAAAAAGTGTTTCAGGGCCCCTTTAATATGGGTGCATGTTAACTAATCTCAACTTACCAAATTAGTGTTCAGCCAAATCTGTGGACCTCTAATTGGCCACAGATGTTGCTTTGGCATTTCCAACATTGTGAGTCACCCACTTTTCCATTTCACCAATGGAAGAAAACCCATTTAATAATGTGAAATGCAGACTGTGTGCTCCTTTTTATAGCGCTGCTCTACATAACTTTAGCACTATTTTCTCCGATATGCTTGTTCCACATAAAAAAATTGATAGGTGATCAAGAAAAAATAGCGACAAGCTGAAAGCAGAAACTTCTCTGCTAACAGCAGTCGTATTCTACTGGTATATCTTACCCGGAAAACCTTGGCGACGATGACCTTCATGCGTCCTTTCTGGAACATATGCCCTTTCAGTACAAATTCAAAATCTAACCTGAAAAAAAAAAAAGTACAGGTGGATCGATAGGATTGCACCAAAAGTACAAGTATCCTGTGTTGGAATACAAGCTCTAACAATTAATTCTGGCCAATTAAATCTTACTACTAATTTGCTTACTTAGAAGACATGCATTTGGATATAACATTGCTTAAGTGGTAGATTGTGCAGCTCTACTTTGGAGTGGGGCAGCACAGGCTATCACTTACACCAGCTTTTTTTCCCTTTTGTGTCTGTATATATGCCGTTGTAATTACAAATAAAAATGGCAGCTTACCGGAAGCCCATCTCATTGAGAAAGCTCACAACGTTGTTAGATGTACTGACATCTATACAGCTTCTCACAACAGGTGTGCCTGCTTTTGTCGCCAACTTCTGGTTGCCCCAGGTAGCGAAGGTGCCTGGAAAAAAAAATGTGCGTTTCCACGCGCTGTTCAGGATCTTGCATTCTCTTCGTTTAGAATCTGGCATGTCAAACGTGCAAGAGGCATTGTACTGACGGTTGGTTGACCTTGTCGCGAATAAAATGAGGAGTGAGTTTGTTTTCTCGCGCAGTCATTTTGTGAGATACAAAGAAAGGAACTAGTCCGCTAAAGAAACCGCAGACAAAGTTGCCATGCCTACCATGGCATCTGGGGACTATCGAGTGACTGTCTTGCTCTCACGGACAGTGGTGTTCCCGTAGGACCTCCTGCGAAGATTATGAAGTCGGCGCATCATATAACTGCATTGAATATAGGACAACCACCCGCCATTTCGAGCACAGTTGTCCTCGTCTTTCGCGATTCTACTAATCGCGTGTAAAGAATTAACAGATTTTAGATACATTCACACATGCTAAGAAAACACAATCGAAAAGCATTTAGCAGGTACGATCTCGTTTTACGGGATAGTACAAGGTGTACAGCGCAATCAGTTATCGGATAAAGGCGAAACCAAGTGCCACTCTTTTTCGAGAACTGCTTGCATTATTGTGGCAGGACCATTTTCTTTCCACCCAACTAAGGCCGTTCTGAATCTAATTTCTCGACTGCGATTGCCCCTTAGCCGCTGCTTGTGTGACTGAATTAATCGCGGCCATGAAGTTCGAGTTCTCTCGAGCACGATCGCAATAGGAAGTGCACCGTGGGACATGCAGTTTTTCGGAGTTTCGGTCCATAGTTCCCACTAAAACAGGCGCGGCGTTCCAAGATACTTGTCGTGTTTTTACACATGCAAGACCGAGAGGGCACTGACTTATCTGAAAGACCATTTCGTAGTCGTGAAACGATTCGATCGGCGAATCCGAGTTGTCACAGAGTCCTCGAAGCCTGTGGAGAAGCACTTCGCAGGCGCCGTCCATAATGCTACCCTGCAACAGGTACTCTTGAAGAGGCACAAGGCCACGTCGAACAGTCGGTGGCGTGCTTTCCATATTTAGGAAGTTAAACGACTCTCGCTGCGCACTTTTTTTTTTCTGCCCACTTCAATCGGGCATCAATCCACGTTCCTTCCTCCGTGCATCAATCAGACAACAAACTTTGCCGCCATGTTTGCCGGTAACTTGGCTAATTTGGCGGCTTTGACCGGATTGAAAAGATTGCTTCCGAGCATTCGAGAAACCGAAATCAGCTTCGATTTTGTTTTAACTATGCCGTGGTTTTGCATAGTCTAGTTTCAGACTTTCTGCAAGGCTGCGAGTTATTTTTTGTGGCTTGGAAACAACATCTCTAGAGCTCATCTAGCGCACCTGAGCGGGCGCTTTTCCTCGTTTGCATAATATCCACTCGTTCTGTTACATCCAAATACTGGATGTAAATTTCCACTTATTACAGGAAATTCAGAAGAAGCGGTACCATGTGGAGTCTAGTACTTTACCTGTGCAAGTTTTAGCGTTGCTTACACCAAGTTCATCAGCTACCTTCTCGAACACTGGCTAACAATATAATCACTCCTGCTGTGATAATTGTGGTTCATCTGTAATATGTTATGCAATACATTGTCTAATTCAACTGAAAAAATTTGTCATACTTTTCTCAAAGTCATATGCAATGTAGCAAGAAGGCTTCAGACATTTCCTACTACCAATCACCTTTTTCCTTTTTTCTCAAGAAAACCTCCTTTATTTAGTTTATTTAAAATTATTTTGATGTTTTTGCCTATAGATGAGATCCAGGCCTATATTTCACCAATTCGCAGGGTATTCGATAAAGTCATTTGATCTAATCTCATCCTTGGTCTCTACAGAGAATAGCATGTCAATCACACACACTGCAACCGAAATTTCTGCCTTTTAATAAAGAGCAACTCTGGCTCGATTAGCAACACATAAGCAAACTGGGCCACCACAAATACATTTATTCTTTTGACAAATTTCAAAGCACTTGCACAGTGAAAAATATAAATGTTGTATATGTATTAATTCATACAATGGTGTGCTGAAAAAAAAAAACGAACGCTTAAGCAGTGTGCTAGCAATTACTTTTCAGCAAGCACGTATGCACACATGCACTAGTTCTAAAAAAAAAAAAATAGACTAATGCCAAATACAATAAGTTCTCAACCAGTAATTAACACATAAATCCTATGTGGCACAAGGGTTACTAGAAATTTTTACCAGAAAGTTCAATGCAACCTCTGTAACAACAAACAACAACAAAAAGTGGAAAAACATGACAGCTACTCTCAACTCTAAGGAAAAACTCTGAACATGTCAGTAATGAGAACAACATCAATAAGTATGAAAATGGAAACAAACCCCCCAGACAAACACATAAAGTACAACTAAGCAAAGTCGCTATAAATAACAACAAAAATGCAGTATAAGACATTTTTGTAACAATAAATGAACAAAATGTAAACAAAATCCGACTATACTCTTGACCAGTATGCTGTATGAAAGCTATAGCCTTGAAGACCACATATCACAACCTTGTGTTACATTATAAACTGAAATAAACTCAAATAATTAGAAACAACAAATAAATTCCAGAACAAGTATGCTCTTCATAACAAAGAACTGTACCCAAAACAGAATACACATGAACATACACATGAGCAAAGCACCAATTTACTAAGTGCTGCAAAATATGTACAAGCTTATTGACAGTACTACCACAACTCAGCACATAAAAAGTGTGAACTTGACACAGAACTTTTGTGCCAATAAGTTTCATTGAAAGAATTGCACTCGAGACTTTCAGGCAAGGCGATTTTGCACTGATGCTGCGAAACAAATTTATGTTGATAAATGCAGTTACTAACAGATTCCAAGATAATGTAAGAATAGTGAGCAGGTTATAAAAATACCAATAAACATGCAGAGAATATTAATTTATACTTGCTAACTTTGACTTTGTTGTAGGACATACAATTCTAAATTTTGTGGAACAGGCTATATTGCAGTGGTACGAAGTGCTTTGGAGAATGTCGTGGGCGCTTGTTCTCTTTAGAATTTCCCTTGACAAAGTAGTGCAACAAAGCAACAATGTTCATGAAACTTCCGCAAGTATACAGCTAGGGCTGAGCATCAAACTGCTTGTCCGTACAAAACCCTGCCAAAATAGAAATTAAAGGCAAAAGCAACAAACCTCATTTGGCCTGGGCTTAATGAAAAACTATGAAGCTACAGCTTCGTATTTTAACATACTTGACAAAAAATGACCAGCTTGTATCACTTTGACTCTGTTTTTACTTCGAACAGAGCTTCGAAACACATATAAATATAATGCTCTACATAGTTTATCATATTACATGAGAACAAAAAGTCGTGAAAAACAAAAAGAAAGACAAGTTCAATGGAACTGACTAAACAAACTCTCATGAAGTTGTTATAAGTACAAACTCTGATAATTCATGCACACTTGCAACAGAGTTAAACAGAAGTTATGGGAGAACATTTTAACTTCATATCCCAGCTCCTGTGCATTGTCACAAGTAATGCAATGCATCATATATAGCCTTGCAGCTTCGAAACTTTTTGGACGTCTTGCTTGTCTCAGCTTAGCAGATGAGCTGTGGTAATGAGCATACTACTGTGATATCCAGATATGTGGCCAGTCGTTCCAGACTAAATAAAGCAAATTTGTTTTCAGCCAGATACCGACTATGAATTCTCATGTCTGAAACTCTTTTTCGTGCCTCTAGTTGCTGGTTTGATCAACAAAGTCGTCGCTTTGCTGGGCACACTTGCCAGCTTGCATTAAGCTTGCTATGAATGCTATTCCAAAGATTTCAAGCAACTCCTTGAATACTGCAATTAGTCTTAGTCCTCCACACAATGATCAATGTGAACAAGTGACACTCCAGATCTCACTAGTAGCATTAGCCTACTGGCCACATAAACTTGGAACGCACAACATCACACGAAATGTACAGCCTCAAGTAGTTCCTAGACTGCGACATGTGCCCCCGCAGACCCGACAAGAGCTGCTGCAAGTCACATGGCAGGGCTCACATGAGAAACACGCATCATGGGGATTCTATGCAAGGATGGTAACACCTTCTTGCTACACAAAATGTGTGGTGGTGAGACGAACCATACTGTACAGTGAAAACTCAACTGTAGTTTTCTTGTCATGGCTTGGGAACTTATGGGGAGAAGCAGATATTTATAACAGTGAGCAAATGTGTGGTCTACAACACCTCCAAAATACTCTTGTGGTAACCAGTGAAATTATTGGTTGGCTTATGTACACTTGCTGCAAGACCTTTGACTAGATGATGTGAACCTATGCAATCATACCAGTAATGCCAACAGGAATCACTCGATGGCACTGCATGTACTGAAATCCATTTGCATGGTTTAAAAATGAATGTGACATCTGTACAAACTCAATCACATTGTGAGGAGAAAACAGCAGATCCACTTGTCAACTTCTTCCTTGCTCGTTGTTTCAAACATTGAAGTCGGGGATGATAACCATCTCAGTCGCATTTCCAACGACAGTCATTTTGGGGGTACAAACCTCATGGCACGCTACGTGACGATTTAGGTTGGACTTGGAGTTGAAGCTCTTGGGGCAGAAGGTGCAGTGGAAAGGACGTTCACCTGTGTGGCTGCGTATATGTCGCTCGAGGTTGCATTTCTGGTTGAAGCGCTTGGAGCACAGGTGGCACTGGTGTGGCTTTTCGCCAGTGTGCCGCTGCATGTGACGCGCAAGGTTCATCTTCTGGTTGAAGCCCCTGCCGCACAAAGTGCACCGAAATGAGCGCTCCGGGTTCCAGCGAACCACCATGCCCGAATGACGCCAAGTGAGTTGTCTGTCGATCCTGCACACATGAAAAGGAAAGCAGTGACGTTATTATCTGTACTCGTTGAGACTTTCATGACGGGGGTTTATGAATGGGGCAACAGGTGACAAGACAAGTAGAAACACACACACATACAAGAAATATTTATACTGCAGATAAAGTTGAGTTCATGGCAGACTTACGCAAAACGATACAACTGCGTTGCATGTGGATCAGCAAAAGGGAAGTTCCTGTCACGCATTGTAAACAAGCATACAGTTTGCAAGTTAATATAAGTGGACAGATATAATTATGAAACACGTTGGACTAATTCTTCCATGCCGACATAATAAGAAGCAGACCAATTTCATTCACTTTCCCTATATGCGGAATTTTATACAATTGAAAACAGTGACATTACACAGTGATTGGACAATTATTGTAGACACAGAGGTACGAGGTGTCATATGCGGAGCAGAAAAAACTTGCAACAGTGAAATGCTCTCACTGTGAAAATATTTTACCACTGTGGAATGCTGTGTAGCCAAAGACTTTTGATCACCTTTTCTAATCTGCTATCAATCAAGCATACAGGGTGTGCAGTCAATGTTTCACTTACAAGATGCCTAGTTGCATGGATTTTTTAATAGCATACAAGAGGTATCAAAGAACATAGACGAGATTGTTCTTTCTGTCACCTTCTTGCAAAAAGACTGATTTAAAAATAATGGCCCAAGAATATCAGAAGGAACATTTAAATACCGGAGAAAGTAAGAAAATAGAGGTCTTCAACAAACAAACAAAAAGCACATCGATTGATATGTGGGGTTTAACGTCTCAAAACCACCATATGATTATGAATGACCCCGTAGTGGAGGGCTCCGGTAATTTCGACCACCTGGGGTTCTCTAACGTGCACCCAAATCCGAGCACACGGGCCTACAACATTTCCGCCTCCATCGGAAATGCCGCCGCCGCAGCCGGGATTCGATCCCGGGACGAGCTGGTCAGCAGCCGAGTACCTTAGCCACTAGACCACCGCGGCGGGGTAAAAAACAAAAAGAACAACATGAGAGCTTGTGAACAAGGTCTCCAATAGAAAGCAATAGAATAGCATCCCCTGAATTTGTTTCAACATTTGTTTCAACACAAGTAGCATTGAACTAAGAAATGTGACCACCATAACCAACATCTGTTTCTGACTTCATTCCATGCCCAAAAAAACCTATACCTTATTACCAGGCATAGACACACAGTTGCCATGTTCGCAAGCTGTGTAAATTGTCAATAAAATTTGGATTAGTAAGCAGCCATGCTATCTCCTCTTCCCAAGTTCATGTCATTGAAATGGCGCCAAGATCTTCCGTTACCTGTCTCTGTGCTCATCTGAATGACGTGCCTCGTGAAGAACCAGGTGATGCTTGGTAGGGCACGGGTAGTCACAATACTGACACAGCCATGCAGCGACCTTCATTTCTGCATCAAGGAGATAAATAAATAGTGTGCCTGAGAGAAGAGTCAGTCTGAACTCTTGTTTTAAAATGATCTGTTGGCATACTAAATAAAGGGGAATGCTTGTCTAGTATGCGTCATCTTTTGTTTCCATCTTTCAAGGGCTAGGTCAGTCTACATTCACTAGACTAGACTTTCTAGCTTAGTGTGGCATTCCTTTTCTCATTAAAATCCTGTAGACTGTACTATCAGAAGCGAGTGGCAAGGATGTGAATTTAGTGCAACACTGGCAAAGCTAGCATCAAATACACAGTGGGCTTAGTGCAACACTAAGAACAAAGTAGAGATCAATAGTGAAATACATGCCACAATTATTACTCCAGTACTCATGAACGACGATAACTTGCTCAACTTACAAGACTGTTATTTGCAGTAGTCTCGTTTTAAGGCTACTCTGAAACACATTCTCTCAGCAACTCTTTCTGTTAGCATTTATATACCTTGCTTAAAATTTCAGCAGTAATTTTATTAATGCAAAGCTACGTCTGTTGCACAAGATGCATTACCACAAAGGGCGAGAAATTGCATTTATGACTACACCCGAATGGTTACAATGCCGCAGTAAGTTTATGAAATTCTAACTTCTGATGACCACCACAAAGTAGTCGATGGTTTACGATATGTGAATGCCCGTTTGCATGCTTTCAGAGACAGTCTCATTTTGTTTTGTTTCCTTGCTGAAATACATACGAGCTCATGACATTAGGACAGCTGCAAACACCAGTAGCACACGAATAAAAAATAGTAGGTAAAAGAACAGCTAATGCAGTTACCAAGAATAAACAACTTAATCTTCAAGCAAACTGAAATGCTAAATTTGTGCACTAAATCAAACATTATAACGTTGCAAGAACGACAAACTTCAACTTCATGCAAACTCAGGTGCTAAACTTATACGCCAAGTATTTCATAGTTTAACATATCACACACAAACTTGGTTAAGCAAGCCTCAACAAAAATCAGTTTTCATCACTCGCGCAGTTTCAGTAACAAATTTTACATTTATACATGCACTTGTAACCACATTATTGGCCAATGCTTGAGTGTAACAAGGAAATCAAATCCAAAAAACACACGAATTTGCGGCACCAGCTGGAAATTTATCAAATTGAGAATAAAACACTCCGAATAGTCGGCAAAGTACGGCAAATTTCCAAATATTAGACGGCGCGAAGAATAAACATGTTGGAGTACACACTGGTATAGAAGCACATTAACACCGCAAGTATAGTTAACAGTTTCTCTAATCACATTTCCGACACAGGATGCAAAAAGCGCAATACACAACACATGTCAATCACTGCATTTAGACGGGCATGCTGGAAGTGGTGGGGGGAAAGAAGACGAAACAGAAGCAGCAACTGTTTCGCGCAATACACAAAACTGAAAAAAAAAAAAACAACTGATTAAGAGTCAATATGCGACCACAGTCAATGAATGGAACAGGAACAAGCAGCTCGTAGCGTCCCGCAAAACCACACATTCACGCCCACTGAGCCGACGACTCGACAAACACATCCCACACACAGCTAAGAAGCAAACCGACTACACGCACACAAGGTGATCACACATACGCACGCACCCGATGCAGCTTCTCATTGTTAATATTTAAAAATTAGTCTACATATAAACACAGCTATATTATTACTACTTTCACAATTGTACACTGTAAATAAAATTATTTTTTTTGTAGTAAACGCTAAAGTTTAGGTACTTTGGATTATATGACTATATGCGTTACCTTGTTTCGGTTTCGTTCTTGAAAGCGCATTCGCGTGAAAAAGCGTGCTCCACAGTTCCCATTCCTCTCTCCCATTGGATCAAGTGCGAAAACAAAACAAATGGCGCACTTTTCACAGCGGAATGCCATCCAAGCGCGCAGGCAGAAACGTCTTTGGGGAGGTTTGGGGTCCCGATAATCCTTCTAAGAGAACTTGTTGTTGGGCTAGTTGGTAGAGCATTTCGAAAAGTTAATTCGAGCGCGAAAACTTGACACGATCACTCACACACGCACACACCCATGCATGAAACACACGTGTGTTTGATGCATGGGTGTGTGCGTGTGTGAGTGATCGTGTCAACTTTTCGAGCTCGAATTAACTTTTCGAAATAATCCTTCGCGCATGCCCGTGCGCGTGTTTGTACGCAAAGTTGAAAATTTTGAGGCGCGCTTGAAGCTTGAACCCCTCAAACCACATTTTAGCTAAGTCACTGCTGTCTTTTGTCCATGACTGCAAAGTGTGAAGTAAGCTATTCCTGGAACGTAGCATCACGGCCGTATACTCGTACGCTGCGAGAATTCGACACGGCTAGCGTGCTTGTACAAAAGAACGAATGGACTACAGGTGGGTACGGAACTGGGCTGCCAACTGCATGGAGAATAGGAACGAACGACGCAACGAAAGGGGCATAGTATATAGCGTTGACTCAGTCGTATGTACTTCATCCAGTTGTTGGGCTCTTAATTTGTTCCGCTTTGACAAATGGAAGTGGTTACGCTCAGAGAGGCAACCGTAGAAGTGAAAACCTGTTGTCGATCGCTAGCTAATTGAAGCGTGACCCTCAGTTCACACTGAAGCAGAACTGTCTATTGTCTGCATTTTCATGCTACCAAGCCACGCACCTACCCTGAAGTACGCACGTGTCTCGAAGGAGCATCAAAGAAAAGGAAAGAAAACGGAGAGGGAAAGGGCACGAAAGATATCCACTAGTCATAACGAGTGGCTCAGCTGTGCCCTCTAGTCGCTCGCAGAAAACAGTACGGTTTTTTTTTTATGTGATTCACATTTTATGTCAGCCAGCAAAACGCCGTGCGTACTACCACTTCAGGAAAACTTCTCGATTCTGACTTTCTGCGAGAGGTTCTTCGCAGTCGTTCAACACCGCCTTATGTTTGAAGTCGTTCGATTTGACAGGTAAATAATCATTTGACTTGTTTTTGTTTTCTTCCTAAAAATAACGCTCTGTGTTCCTAGTCCACACACACACACACATAAAAAAAAAAGACATTCGCCCGAAACGCGACAAACTTTCGTTCGTTTCAGCCTCACTTCTTAGCCACGTGTTTTGTTGGAGCAAACGCTGAAGTGAAAAGAAGCCTGCCGTTCGTCTAGGAGCATCGCCACAGAAGACGTTCGACTTTCGACATGTTTGCAACGTACTACAAGATTGTTGTGCCGGCAGTGCTGCTTTTCTTGGCAACGCCACTCTGCCACGTATCGTGCAAGGCACGTGAGTTGAAAGCATTGTCGCTTATTCAGTGTTTCTTTTAATTGCGTTCTCTCTGCACGAAGAACATGTTTGCAAAGATGCCTAAAATTACCTACTTTGACTAGTTTATCAAAAGTTAGCCCGATAAATTAACAATAATTTGTCCGTTTGGTGACATCTGGGTACAAATTAATTGCGTTCGGCACAACTGAGGTCGCGAAAAACTTCTGCCGTGGGCACATATCTTCTTTTTTTTTTTTTGCGGAATCTGGCAGGTCGCATTAACTGTATCAACGTTTACGCATGCGCAAGATGCATATATATATAAAAAAGAAAGTCCTGATGTCACGAGGATAGCACATGGTCGGGTTCTATTAAAATTTATTTGCCTCTTTCCCTTCAGTTCCTTCTAGCGATTCTTTTCTGCCACAAGTGCGGATACCGAGGACGCTGTACGGAACTCCGCAGGAAATGTTTCTCCAGCTCATGGCTTACAAGACGCTGAAAATAGCTGTGAAGATGCAGAAGATGGAATGTTACAAGAGGTTTTTCTGCCAAGTGTCGCACGCGATGGGAATGAGCTCCTTCAAAGCGTCCTTCGCCAACAAATTCATGAGGTAAAGTTTTTTTTTTCCCCCATATATTCACTAACGCGTCGTATGTACGTTGCGTGCTTTGCAAGCCTTATTATATCGCTGCAATTGTTTGTGTACCTCCTCTCTCGGTGATGTCTAACGCCTGGATGTGGTGCATTTTTTTATTCTTTTGTCTGTTAAACTTAAACGTCAGAGCTCAGTTTGAGACCGTGGTAAATCCTCGGCGTTGGAGGAGACGACCGAGGGCCTCCAGTCGCGAACGTTTTGTCCAGCGCGTTACGCCTGCCTACTTCAATCAATCAATCAATCAATCAATGTTTCTTTATTAGCATCGGAAGTGTACATTGTGAGTAAGTATGCAGGAGGATGTCTTAAGGTAGTAAACCGCAGGCGGGACCTCCTATGTTATTACAATGAAAAAGCTAAAATATGAATATGAACTTCGATTACAAAAGAATGTTAACGTGACAGAAGCGGCAGCAGTTGTTAAAGGCACCCCCCCCCCCCCTAAATATGACCCGCTATACGGTGTCCCTGTGGTTATGGCTTTCGGAAGTCGACCCAAAGATCGCGGTATCGAATCCTGGTCGCGTTTTCGATGAAGACGAACATGCTTGAGGCACGTATTCAGGTGCCAGTTAAACAACCCCAGGTTGTCGATATTTCCGGAGCCTGCCACCGCGGCACCCCTCATAAGCATATCGTAGTTTTGGAAGGTTGAACCCTAAAAATAATTATATGGCCCGCCATTGATACGGGCAATCTGTGCTTCTCGTGACGTCGCAGAAGATGTCTCATCGTGCCAGTATTCAACACATGGCGGCCATCCATGATGAAGTGAGTGCGCTATCTATCCCACCCACACATCATGTTTCTTTTCTATGAACTGTCACTTCTCGATTTGGTCATTTGACCCGAGATTTGCTTTTGCTGCTGTCAAGCGTTTTGTCAGCGCAGCTGCTCGACATGCTAGCACCTATACAATACCCGAAGATGGCAATTCGCAATGACATAAGTGAAAAACTACCGGTAGTGGTATTCACGTGACGTCATCCGCAAGGGCCCCTACCGCGGCCCTCGCCATACCCATGGTCACACGCGCGGACCTTATCGGATTAATATAGCAAAGCTCTCGAAGGTATTGAATTCTTTCTGTATTTAACTATGAAAACTGCGTAGTAAGGTGCAGTGCCACGTAAACACCAGGCTGTCATATATATGCTGGATCCATGACTGAATGTGCTCACCGGCGCCGCCTGGCAGCGGAGCACAGTCCGATCCCTCTTTTACAACAATGAGAGCCCGCAGCGCAGGGAATTTACCGATGCATAAGCCTGTTTCTACGCTGCAAAATGAAAGCTCGGGCCAAAATTTGCCAAAACTTGCTCATGTCTTTGCCATCGTGGTGTGTGTTCAGCGAAGCGTTAGCGATATCAAGCATACACCGAGCAGGATAAACACAACTATTTCCCTTCCTCACGTGGTCCTGCACGCAATCAAGTCACTCGCGCGGCACGTGCCTATACATTCTGCGAGTTACCAGCGAGGGTATACAAACGCATTTGCGCAACTGCCGAAATGGTGTTTCAGCCAACTTGCACCCTGCATTAAAGAAAAAAAAAATCTAACATGGTAGCCCAGTACTGTGCTGAGCCGTTATATGCGGCTGTTTAACCCATGTCAGTACGTGTCCTTTGCTCATGCCTTTAACGCAACTTCGTAACCACTTTGCTCAATAAAAAAAATATTACAACACGGTCAGCATGCGCATTCTTCGCGCAACATCAATTGCCAAGGTACGTGGGATACGCCGAATTTTTTTTTTTCATATTTTGATCTTTCCCAGCTGGTAGGCGCGGATCATACCACGATCATCATCATCAAACAGGAAATGCCCTATAACATCGAACAAAAGCGTAAGAAATACAAGCGCGCGGCATTGGATGCCATCGGAAACAAAAGGGCGCGCTATTCACCCATTCATCGCCTCATGCTGCTCTGAGTTTAACAGTGTTGCAACCAAGCTTCTCTGTTTGCTGATTATTTCGTGGTTTTTCCCGCAGTCCACAATTCTTCTCCACGGCGCAGGCGCCTTTCCCCGAACTGGAAAAATCTAGAAACAGCCCTTGATATCGGAGGCTTTCTCTCCGGTTTTACCGGTCGTCCCGGCCCCTATCAAAATGGCAGAAGGTAGCTTAGTACAAGGGAAAAAAATAAATCACAGCATATCCACTGAGTGAATTATGGTGAGTGGGGCGAAGCGTCCGTTAGCCCATCCGTGCTTTCGTCCGTCCGCGCGATCATCCGTGCGTCCATCCGTCTGTCTATGCGTCCGTCCGTGAGTCCATCTATCCATCTGTCTGTCTGTCTGTTCGTGCATCCATCCGTCCGCGCGTCTATCCATCCGTCCGTCTGCTAGTCTGTCGGTCTGTCCGTGCGTCCATCTAGTGAACACTTCAAGTACCTCCATCTCCCATCTCGCAACCCCTGTGGCACATACCCGCTCCAGAGCGGGTATGTGCCATAGGTGGCTAAGTACTACTACATACGTACATACAAAGGATGTACAGACCCACGCTTTAAAAAGCCTCGCCCATAAAAAGGCGAATTACGCTAAACTCAGTGCTAACGCTTCATTCTGGTAACCAGCAGAAAATATTCAGCGCGTAATTCTTACGATAATGTGTACTCTCTTGAACGTCTACAAACGTTCAACTAGCGACTCTTGTATATTATTACTAAATGTATTCTATCTCTCTTTTTATTTCCCAACAATGCAGTGGCATTGCTGAGCTGCCCGACTCCTTCTTGGGAGCCATTGGCAAAGGATGGATTGGCCAAAACTGCACCCAGGCGTTCAGGTCGTGTGACCGAGCCAGGGACTTCGTCCGGCGCATTGTAGACGCTGTCTTGAACACAAAACCGAGTGTGGAATGAACACCGATAGTATAGCGGCTTGTTGAATACCTTTATTTATACAATGTGGATGACACATGTCTCAAGCGGAAGCATTTTCAAGCGCCATCACTACAGCGTTCCCGCAGAACTTCCCCGTGACAGCACCCAAGATGGACTTGAACACCTCTGTATACGCAGGCTGGTGTTGCGAGAGCATGCTGGCTGTTCTTAACATTGAAGCACATTAATGAATGACAAGTTTGTATGCTCCATATTTTTTGTGTGAGTTGGGGGCGCTTGGGTGATACTGAATTCGTTCCCCCTAACAAAGCCTGCGTACGCCTATGGCATTGCCAACACTTGACTTCTGCATAACTGTAAGACCGTAAATTATATTACATGAAAATAACGGGAACTAGTGACAACGAAGAAACTATTTCACAGTGTGGCTATTAAGTGCATGACAGTGTTGAAATGAGAGCGCACTGCTTAGACGCAGACAGAAAGGCAGGAACAAGCGCTTGTCCCTGTCTTTCAGTCCGCGTCTAAGCAGTGCGCTCTCATTTCAACACAGTCATGTATCACCAACTCGCCCAATCAAACATATTGACATATTAAGTGCATTATGTGTGCACATACCTATGGTTGTTTTGTGCTAGATGTGGTAAGCATTTCGTGACTATAAGTACAAAGAGTATGAGTGAATATGAGCGAGGCGTGCAGCTGGCTTGTGTAAAAGAAGACTGGGGCTCAGCCTCCTTGCGGTGGGGTCATGGAGCAGGAACCACGTAGAACTGCTCGTCGGATGGTGGAGGCTCTGGGCTGTTCTCCTTGTAGTCGTCTTCCGGGTACCTGTTCGGCCGGATCCCGTTCCTGACAGCCTGCGCATATTTGCAGGTATACACGCAGTCATCCAAAAAAGAAAAGTACTGTAAGCTTTTTGCCTGTGTTATAGTTTCATTTTTTAAAAATGTATTTTCATTGAATTTCATAAAGAGGGGAGAGGGAGGGAGGAACCCTGCGCATGATCGTGATAACCGGCATAAAACCGATTCATCATCATCATCAGCCTGACTACGTCCACTGCAGGACAAAGGCCTCTCCCATGTTCCGCCAGTTAACCCGGTCCTGTGCTTGCTGCTGCCAATTTATATCCGCAAACTTGTTAATCTCATCTGCCCACCTAACCTTCTGTCTTCCCCTAACCCGCTTCCCTTCTCTGGGAATCCAGTTAGTTACCCTTAATGACCAGTGGTTATCCTGTCTACGCGCTACATGCCCGGCCCATGTCCATTTCCTCTTCTTTATTTCAACTATGATATCCTTAACCCCCGTTTGTCCCCTAATCCACTTTGCTCTCTTCTTGTCTCTTAAGGTTACACCTACCATTTTCCTTTCCATTGCTCGCTGCGTCGTCCTCAATTTAAGCTGAACCCTCTTTGTAAGTCTCCAGGTTTGTGCTCCGTAGCTAAGTACCGGCAAGATACAGATGTTATATACCTTCCTCTTGAGGGATAGTGGCAATCTACCTCTCATAATTTGAGAGTGCTTGCCGAATGTGCTCCACCCCATTCTTATTCTTCTAGTTACTTCAATCTCGTGGTTCGGCTCCCCGGTTATTACCTGCCCTAAGTAGACATAGTCTTTTACAACTTCAAGTGCACTATTACCTATCTCGAAGCGCTGCTCTTTTCCGAGGTTGTTGTACATTACTTTCGTTTTCTGCAGATCAATTTTAAGACCCACCTTTCTGCTCTCCTTGTCTAACTCCGTAATCATGAGTTGCAATTCGTCCCCTGAGTTACTCAGCAATGCAATGTCATCGGCGAAGCGCAGGTTACTAAGGTATTCTCCATTAACTCTTATCCCTAACTGTTCCCATTCTAGGCTTCTGAAAACCTCCTGTAAGCACGCGGTAAATAGCATTGGGGAGATTGTGTCCCCCCTGCCTTACACCCTTCTTGATTGGTATTCTGTTGCTTTCTTTATGAAGCACTATGGTAGCAGTTGATCCCCTGTAGATTTCTTCCAGAATGTTTATATATACTTCATCTACGCCCTGATTCCGCAGTGTCTGCATTACGGCTGATATTTCTACTGAATCAAACGCCTTCTCGTAATCTATGAAGGCTATGTATAGTGGTTGGTTGTATTCTGAGCATTTTTCTATTATCTGATTGATAGTATGAATGTGGTCAATTGTTGAGTAGCCTGTTCGAAATCCTGCTTGTTCCGATTGATCCACCCTATAGTGCAACAACGTTTACTGAGCGTTTCATAAAGAGCACGTTGATGTTATACAGTGTGGTCGTACGGGCCAGAAGCGCTAGATAAGAAATGCCTCGAGTGATTTCATCGATTGGTTATGGCAGAGAATACAAGCCGTAGTGGACTAGATCCGAGCTACCACTGTCCATTCTATGCAAGTTTATGACAGAGCTTCGATACGGATTTGTTTTTCTTCTGTGCATTGTGATGTGATCGTGACGGTGAAACTGGCGGCAGTCCAGCTGTTCAAAACGAAACTATTCAATGGGTGAACTTGTGCTTAGGAAATGAAACGTTATAAGTAGACGTAATAGACGCTGTATAGTCCGATAGCGGTGATCACAGTAGTGACCATTGGTTATCCCGCAGTCCGTCGGCCTTTTAATTACAAACCTGATCGAGCATTCCAGCGTTATCACTGGAGCTAGTGTTAGATGCTAAACACCTTGGCTACTCGCGGCGTGCATGTCTGAAAAAAACCATCAAGTTCCTAAACATTGCTGCGCGGCTGTCGCCAAGTGGTGGCAGCGCCTGTAGTAGCTACACGTGTAACAGGCTGGTCACATATCATTCTACAAAAAAAAAAAAAAAATGTCGAGCATGACGACGTAGATGCTGTGCCCGTTAACGACGAAGGAACAGTTATGATAAAGAATAGACCTAAGTAATGTCGCTTAGGGCATTCGTGTACGCCAAAGAAGGCATCTCCACCTGTATGTTCTTACGGACGTTCTCGACGACCGCGGCGGTTCCCTGGCGGACGCCAGTGGCGACGCCCTGGATGCCTCCGCGAATGCCGGTGCCCACGGTGGCCGTGGCGTTCTGCAGGTTCTCGCCGACGCCCACCACGACGCCCAGCAAGCTGGTGTTGCTCAGCACGCGGTTGCACACCCGCTGGCAGCGCCTGAAGTTGGACAGCAGCTCACTCTCGCTCGCTGCGCCTGCCGAACGAGCACGACAATCCACGTCCTTTTCAAGTCTACATGAAAGAAACTTTGCAAAGTGCACTGACGATGAGATCATTATCTTCAACTATCGTCGTCAACCTGACTACGCCCATTGCAGGGCACTCCCATACTCCGTCCATGGACCCGGGCATGTGCGTCCTGCTGCCACGTTATACCCGCAAGCTTCTTTTAATCTCATCTGCACACGTAATTTCCTGTCACCACCTTACGCGTTTGCTGTCTCTCGCAATCCACTCAGTTACACTTAAGCACCAGCGGTTATCCTGTCCACATGCTACGTATTGCAACTATGATATCCTTAATCCACGCTACGAATGCCCATGTCCATTTCTTCTTCTTGATTGCAACTGTGATGTCCTTAATCCCCGTTTGTTCCCTCACCCACTCTGCTCTCTTCCTGTCTCTTAAAATTACACCTATTATTGTTTTTTACAACACTCGCTGCCTCGTCCTCAATTTAAGTTGAACCCTCTTTGTAAGCCTTGAGGTTTCTGCTCCGTTGGTAAGATCCAGCTTTTATTCCTCTTGAGGGATGTTAGACTACCATTCATAATTTCAGAAAGCTTGCCGAAGGTGTCTTATCCTTCTAGTCATTTCACCGTCATGGTTTGGCTCCGCGGTTACTAGACATATTCTTTTACGACTCCCAATGTCTCACCACCCATTGCAGAGCACTGTTCTCTACCGATACTGTTGCACACTACTTTAGTTTTATGCATGTTAATATTACGATTAACGATTCTGCTTTCCGAGTCCAGTTCAGTAATTGTGCGTTGTAATTCGTCCCCTGCGTTACTAATCAATGCAAAGTTATCAGAAAATCGCAGGTTACTAAGATACTTTTGATTAACCCTTATCCCTTAATCTTCCCATTGTAGGACCCTGAAAACCTCCTGTAAATACGCGGTCAATAGCATTTGACATCGTGGCTTCTCTTGATTCTGTCGCTTTATTTGTGGGTGACTATAGTGGCTGCGGATACGCTCTTGATGTTTTCAACAGGTGGAATAATAAGACGGCTAAGAATAACGAGACTATCGGCAAAGTACGAACATTTATGACGTAAACAAGGCATACGCCAAAGCTAAAATGTTATGATATGCAGCAGATAGTCAATCAAGGACAATAGAAAGTCATTGGAAAGTGTTATGGCAGCCAATTCTGAGGACATGGCTTCACAATCACCTGAGAAGAACGGAAATATTGTGCATTTATTTCTTAGAGTCAGAGCAGCTTCATTAATCCACGTTAAAACATAACGCACGGCTGCCACACCTGCTGTATATATGTATCAAACGTACAGGAACTGAAATATAGACGCTTACGATAGTTTATATTTGCGTTGTAGATCACAATGCTTGAAGACTGGCTGTGCGAATATATTACTATAGTCGACGACGTAACATTATGCAACCTTATACGAGTCACCGGGGTGATGTTAAAACCGTGAACTTTACGAAAAGATACATGATGACGAAATGCGAATAGTTCGGTGAGCTTCGATGTACGTCGACGGCGAAAAATAAACCGAATTCCTCCACAACCGAGTGGTACCCCGTATGCATCTCTTGGTTCTTATTCTACGTTGGCAGCAGCAATGTGCATATATTGAGTTTGAATACGAACGGCTGTGGTGAAGAAACACGAGCGAGACTACGACGACGGTGCTCCAAGCCGCCATGACGACCTCCCTGCGAACCTGCTGACAGGTCACTGCACAAGAGAGCGATGTCTGGTATCACGCCACTTTTATGGCCTCGCACGTTGACATGAAATAAGCGAGAGCCATCCTGGGCTACCGGAAGAGAATCCCCGCAGCCGAGGTCAATGACCCCCTGCGAAATGCAGCAATATACGACAGCATACTCCGCACACTGCTGAATATGTAGCACACTTCGACAAAAAAAAAAAAAAAAAAATCGTCCGCGTCGTTGAATACACAAGACGCGTGCGCGGCAAGCGGCAGGTGTTTCAATAGGAAACCGATACTCGGCCGAATGCGACCACGTGGCTCGGTGGGGGCAACAACTTCGGCT